GATTTCGGCCTACTGCTAAGTCCTTGTCAAATGACACTGCACAGATTTCAAATTGGTTAGACCAACAAAAGGAAAAGGATCCACGTTGGGTCATTGCCTGAGGCTGGGATGAAGATAATACCTTGACACACTTACTTTGGATGAAACCGGAGCAAGTTGAAAATTGGATTCGATATTCTGACTGTGTTTTCAATGATGTCACACATAAGACAAACCGCTACGGCATGGCACTATTATTATTTGTCAGATTTGATAATAACCGTCAAAATATCTTGTTGGCGCAAGCACTTCTGGCTGACAAAAGTCTTGAATCTCACATTTGGATGTTCCAGCAAATAGTTAAGGCTACTAATACTCAACCTTTAGTTATACTTACTGATGCTGATCCTGCCGTTAACACTGCTATTCATCAAGTATTTACAAATACATATCCAATCTATTGTGCATACCACATTACTCAGAATTTGCATAAAAACTTAAGAAAATTATTATGTGAAACTTATCAAAAGTTTCTTGATGACTTTTACCTTTGTCGCAACTGTTTGAATAAGGAAGGATTTCAGCAACGTTTTGAACAGCTTGTTAATAATCATACTAAAGCTCAACATTATTTGGAATTTTTATATAAGTCCAAAAACTATTGGGCACACTGTTTTACTAATTTTAAATTTACGGGCGGTATGATCGCTACGTCGCGTGTTGAATCCATGAACACATGCCTAAAGCATTTAATATATAATTCAAATACTTCATTGTATGAACTTGCCACTGAAATTCACAAGTTGCTCAATATTCAAGATAAAGAAAATGAGTATAAATTCTGGAAGTTGGCAATTCCAATGGTAAAACATCAGGAAAAGGTTAATTTTTTGTTCTCAAAAGTAGATCAGTGTATCCAGTGGTTTCTTACTCCTACGATGCTGAAAATATGAGATGAAATAAATCAATCCATATATTACGTCGCTAATAAAGTTGCTCGTGAGGATATGGAAAGTTTAGATGATGATGATCTACAATTTAGTTCTTGGGAATATAGTGCTGACGATTTGCAAGCTATGCTTAAACAA